TCCATTTGCGTCCCCACGTGTTTGTTAACTTTTTTCTGTTTTCCTTGTGATGGGAATTTCCACAAAAAGACCAGACAGCACCGTAAAACGACGAGCGAGAGGCTTTCCCCTCGGAAATATTAAAAATCTCTGTGCAAATATTGAAACGACTAGCATCAAGGAGTAGAGAGGAAAGTACCGAGGGGAGAATAAATTTTTCTTGCGACGCACGCAGACACAATATTGCAGCACTCGCTTCCTCCCGAGTAGTTTTGATATCACAACGCGGAATCAAATACTGCACGAGGGGGAGCATCTCTTTTGTATCAGCGGAGGTTCGCAGATTTGCTCGCAAATGAGGATGCCTGTTTTTATTGGCTGCCTACTTCGCAGTTTGTCTCTTTGCTCGAATGAATTCATCTTATCAGATTTGAATACACAGGCGCAAGCGAGAGTGAGCGATGTGTTTTATCAAAGAAATCTGATTAGGATGGAAGGCGAGAGCAGTTCGCTGGGGGCTGCTCGCGAGTTTGCCCGTCTTTTCAACTTAATTGAGTGAACGCGTCATTCGCCGCCTGTAATAAATGCCGCTTAAACGTGCGTAAGACGAACACAGGGAGTTTTAATCAAACTTCTCAAGTGAGCATTTTAAGAAGAAAATAAAGTATGTAGAATTTTTGTAACATACATACAAACGTTTTACTACAACAAAAAAATAATAATAATTTAATAATAATAATTTTAAGCTGTGCTCATTTTTAAAGTAATTTTAAATTTGTATTACAAACAATTAATGGAAAATTTTATCAAATTTTATAAGCATGTAGAGTGTCAAATTTTTCAATGGCCCTGTATTATTTCAAAATATATAAAACATTATTTAAATTTTTTTCTATATTTTGCGATATTATAATTAATTGTAAGCGGATTTTACCTCACTAATTAGAACTAATTAAATTAGGTTTCAATTCAATTTTCTTTACCAGTAAAAAAAGCATAATACCAATTTTTAACCCAAATTTGTTTAAAAACAAAATTGTGCGGTACTTTTTTGGTCGGCAGCATTTACTAACTTTCTACTTACATATTCTGTTAAGCAAATAGCCACACATTTTCGATCGTGGTTGAAAGTCGCATTAAGTTAGAGTAACCACTTCCTTTTGCCAAACTTTCTCTTGGAAAAACACGCCTCCGCGCCGCAAACAAATAAAGAAGAAGCAGCATAAATCAACAAACCCCTTTGATTGCAGCCCAGGAGAGCGTAACGGGAGCCATAATGTACCATGCGTTATATTTTTTTTATTGATCATTGCTGACATAAGTAACCAAATCTGCGCGCTGTATTTCTGCCTCATTACTCTTGGCTGCTCCACCAGCAAAGGGCAGACATAACAAAAAACGCGGAAAAAGCATACAAATCTTTCTGACTGCGAGCAGAGGGAGCCGGAAAAGAATCGCATTTAATAGGGACCATGTACAGTGATTGTGTAAGAGAGTGAGCCCCACTGCCGCTCGTTCGCTTTCAATATTGGGCGACGTTTAATTAATTACGAGTGTAGTGGATGTGTTCGGTGAAAGGGTTTCTTAATGTTCAGCGACTGCCATTTCAAAAGATCGGAACATTAATTAACGAGGTACATGCTCATTAAAAATTTCAGCTTCGGAAACATGACGATGCAGATCAATGAAAAGATGCTGATAGGTTTTAAAGATCAGTATGGATCAGTAGACGTCGAAAGACGGAAGCAGATGATTAAGTAAAAATCAAAAATTTTATGAAAGTTTTAAAAACCATTATTAAACTACTGAGTTACGTAATTTTGACAAACGAAAGTATTTTTTGATCCTATAAAATTTAAATAAAAAAAAATTTTAATTGGAAATCTCCTTTCTTTCTTTTTAATGTATTTTTTTTTCTTACTTGCTCTACCCTATATTCAAGTCGACTTTGAAAGAATCAATTTCGTGGCTTTCTTTCTTCGGCACAAGCGTCACACAAAGCCGTCCAAAGTCCCATTGTGTGGTGGGTATGCCCGAAAGGACAAATTTTAACCATGAAAAATGGTTGCTGCTGTCGCGACTTGCCGCGTCATTTTGGAACATAAAACGCTCATTTCCGCGAATCATTTTTCCCAGAGCAAAGCTGACGGGCACAAATTATTTTCCGTAATCGAAATAAATGCAAGGGTTATTTATGATTTCTTGTGTGGCAAAAAAAAAAAGAGTGAGCGACGGGAAAAGGGCCGTACGTGGAGCTTTCCTCTCTGTGCACTTTTTATGTCGGTCTTCGCTCATAAAGAAAATGCTTTTCCTCATGAAATACATCCAGCAAAAGCACACACAACAAAACACAACATGGGCAACATGGCCCCGCATTATTTTTCTAGAGGTTCACTCGCCAAAAAGGAATACAAGTTAATCTGGAGGAGATGTGAACAAGGGGCGCAGACCACAGCAGACATAAAATACTGCCTGCAAAAGGAAAACCGAGGCTGTAAAAATAGGAAAACGTGAGTGTTGTGTGAGCGCAGGCAAAGAGTTGCACTCTGGACTAAATTTTATGTGTGCGCCGCAGGGCAGGGAAGGAAAATTCTACTTGGGACTCATCCCACGGGACACGCAGGTGATATTGCTATATGAATCCGGCTGTAAAGTCTGATAAATATTCATCACTGGGGTGCAATTTGGGAGGCCTAGCAACTCAGCAAAAGTGGATTATTTGACCATCATGCCGAGCAGCGTTTTGGCAACTTTCGGATTTGAATTTGTGTCCCGGTGGGACACACTTGATATACGCACTGCTCGCTCTACTTTTGTGAAACAGGTCCTTCAGTGTTGAAAAAAGAATCACGTTACATTTATTTAAATTTTTTTAAAGGTGTTTTTCTTATAGAAATATCGATTTATTTTTGTTGTTTTGTAAAATTTTCTTTCCAAAGAAATTTTCTGCATTGAAAATTTCATTCCAATTTTAATCAAAATGCATGAAAATTGATTATATTCTATGAACAATTAATACAAATTTATTGAAGCAATTAGAAATGTCCAGTTTTTTTTTGGGTCTGTTGCATGATATATTATAATAAGCCGCCTATGATTTTTATGTTGCCATTTTCTTGTAAATTTTTCACAATTTATTTATTAGGAAAAAACAAACGCAAAATCAATCGCACAATTTCCAGTCCCTGGGGTGAATTTCCCCCGTCTTAACTTTGGAAAGAAAAGTTCTCTCCAGCTGCAGCCGACAACAACCAACACATAATCGAAAAGATCCGCCAGAGAAAGTGAGGAAGAGGAAATAAGGTTTCGCGCAGTTTATTTTTACACAATAACAACAACTGCAGCCAACCAACAACCAACACACCGACAAACGTCGGCGAGAGAATAAGAAAATCAACCAAGTGTGATTTGATCCCGGGCGAGTGAAATGTCAAATTGAAAAGGCTTCGCAGTGCGGTGTGGGATCACAATAAAAATTCGCCTCCTCTCTGCTGCTGTAAACAAGCGACAGTTTCCCTTCTCTGAACTCCCCGTGATGAATGGACCCAGAGGTGGCGAATTCGACGCACAAAACGAACATGTGCGGCTTTCTATATTCATCCTATATATATAAATAAATAAATAAATATATTAAATAATTTTGCAATTAGGTTTACTAAAAATCTGCACATAGCTTGTAGAAAATGGGAATTTCTAAATAATATATTATTAGAAAATTTATTCCATGAAATTAATGAAATTTTGACAATTTCACATTCATTTAGCACATGGAAAAATAAATAACAATTTTTTTTTTAATTTTGTAAGTGAGCGATTTTGTATATTTTTTTTAAACCAACAGCGCCATTTTGCTATTTCTTCTTAAGAAAAATAGAAATATTATTCAGCTTTAATAAAGGCAGCAGAATTTAAAAATGTAATTTTCTTTCTTTGCAGACTCACTTTTTACGACTTTTCTACTTAAAGCGTCTATAGCAACTTTGGGGTAGTCCCTTTTCTTACAAGTCTAATTATGCAGACACAGATGAAGTTGTTTGGGCGTTGGGCCAAAAGTGGCTGAAAGAGAGACAAAGATGAAGACGCTCCAGCACCAACACTTTTGTTAAATGCGCGGAACAAACGGCGGAGACGGACGGACCGTGAGAGGGTGAACCGAAGACGGCTCCTCGCTGCTCAAGACAGTATTCCACACCATTAGGCCCGCACCGGAGCAGTGTCGTCTCGGCCAGGAAATGACGTCGGCGTCTTTTGATTTCCGGGAAATATCGCTTTGGCATCTTTTTGGCGCGGAAACGATCACAAAAGACCCGTCGCTAGATAAATAATGTTGATAGTAACGTGCACCACTTTACACATGAAGCTCTATGAAAACGGAAAATTGATTTTTGGTAGGGACCGAAAAATGCTTTATTAAAAATGATCCATTATTATTAAAATCAAAATTTCAAGTAAAAAATTAACCAAAAAATTTACTAAATAATTCTTACAGTGGAAATATGAACAAAAAAATCATTATGTTGAAAAACTATGTAATTTCCCTATAAACCTGATTAAGTTAAATCAAGTTAAATTGATTTTTAATAACTTGTTATTGCGGTTTAGTCAAATAAATTTTTTACAACAATAGGAGCAATTATTGGAAAACAAATGGAAACTTAAAATACCATTGGTGGAAAGATTTGATTGGGCTTTAGTCTTTACATTTGAAATTAATTAAAAATTAAGTTACATTAGTACTTGTAATTAATTGCTTTGACGTGGAATTACGTTCCGAGACGTTAAAATTCACTTAATTCTCAAAAATTAAGTTCTGGAAATAAGTTTTCACCGCACTTAAAATTAGAAAAAAAAATTGATTTCCGCAATATCATTTTTTACTCAATAATTAAACTCTATGATAAAGGGAAATATATGAAGAGAACATCTATATGCGTCACCTGGTCTATCAAATTATCATGCGTTTATAATCTGTTGTTTAAGGACTGGGCTCGCGATTGCATAAATAATATTCAGATGACTAATATAATTCAGTCTTTGTGATTCGGCGTCAGGATGCGTCCAACGAGCAAACTGCTGTCCATCTTATTATTCTTCTGCATCGCTAAGGTCAGCCAATCAGAGCCTTCTTTGCAATGCACTACGGATATTACAGCATACCAACTTGGACTCACATCGTCTCTGAAACCTTGGGCACTTAAAAGTAAATTTATTTTTTAAATTAGAACGTGCAAACGTGCAATGATTTGAAATTTTTCAGTGCTCGACTCGTCGACAAAGTTGCCTCCAGACGGACTTTTGCAAGGCACTTTCCTTTACCAACTTGGAAATTTTGATGAATGTTTATCCGTCAACGGTCCATTGAACAATGACGGTGATCCAAGATTTAAAGGAAAATTTTGTCGCGTGCAGTTAGGGTTCAAGGCCAATGGAAAAACTGAACCAAAAGTGAAGCTCATGCTAAATATGATGAAACTTGCCTACGACAAAATTTCTTCAGGCGCGAACTTATCAGATTCACGTGGCTACTTAACGTCTGTGGATTCCCATGTAATGATTGATAAAAAGTTACATAGATGAATCACTTTATTATAATGTTATAGGCAAGCCTTTTTCCCGAGACCGGTCCAACAATACCTGCACAGTGGGCGGTCTGTGCACCTTCCTCCTGCAATGCAGATGGCGTAAAAAGGGTGGCTGATTTCAATTTGGGACTTTTCTTCTCACCCCTTAACTTAGATGTTTCGACTAGGGTAATTGAAGATTCATGCTACTCCATAGATGACGGTTCTAAAGATCTGGACACCGGTTCTTGGCTATTTTTGTAAATTTAATACAATATGTTACCAATGAAGATTCCAAAAATTTTATTCCTTTCCAGGATTTTCTTTATCTGTTTGACAACTGTGATGGCATATTCTACTGTCTGCGATTATGTGTGGCCTGAACATAAAGGTTAATTAATATTTCAGAGCTTACAATTGATCGTTCATCAAAGATAACAAAATAATAATAATATAATTATTTTCTATTAGCCTTGAATGTGATTGTAAAAGCTTTCTCATTGAGGACAAATTTGCGCGAACTTTTCACCCTTCCAAAAAGTGCCGCACCTGGACAATTAACTTGTTTGCATGGAATCAGAGTAATAAGCACCTGGTGGGTCATTTTACTGCACTGCTACATGATAAACATCTCTATCCCTCCTATCAACGCTCTACTGGCATTAGAAGCGGTATTTATATTTCATTTATTTCAACGATAATAAGATACCTAAAATTGTATATTAATTTCTGTTGTATTTATGCAGTACCGTTATGATTGGACGATGGCACCTATTTATAGCGGTGGTTTATCAGTAGATACATTTTTCCTTCTTAGTGGGCTTTTAACAGGCTACGTTGTCCTGCTTGACCAAAAGAAAGGCAGATCTTTTAACATTTTCAAATACTACGTGTTTAGATATATCAGGTAATAATTATTATGTTAAAATAAAAAATTTCCAACAAAATTTTGGCAGGATTACGGCTCCATTGGCTGCTGTCGTGTTCTATCTTGCAACATTACATGCAAAAATGGGAAGCGGACCAGTTTGGGATGTGTTTACTACGATGCAAGCACAAAATTGCGAGAAAAACTGGTGGGCAACGCTTCTTTATATAGTGAATTACTACAAGCCCATAGAAACTTTTGTAAGTTTATCAGATGCTTTTAAATTTAGCAAAATTATTTATTTTAGAATTATTAAACTAGTGTGTAAGCCAAGCATGGTACTTGATGGTCGATATGCAGCTGGCGCTTTTGGCCCCAATTGTGGTTTTCCCACTGCTAAAGTGGCCGAAGTTCGGACTTGGATTGATAGGACTTTTAATGGTTGGATCAATGGCTATGGATTTTGCATACACTATGATTTATAACTTGCCGTGGACAATCACATTCTTGGTTCCGTAAGTTCAATTTATTATCATTATAATAATTATTTAAACGGAATTATTTTTTAGGGAAGAAACGACCGGAGACTTTAACTATTTGATCTACACTAATACGCCAGCGAGAGCCGTGCCCTACTTATTTGGGATGATCCTTGCTTACATTTTGGCAAATAAAATGACGATCAAATTGCCAAAATGGAGCGTCATCTTAGACTGGATTTTAAATACAGCTCTTTGTTTGGCGATTATTTATGTCATTATCATTCCCTATAGTAAAGGGTACGATTATGATAACATCAGCGCTGCGTTCTATGCAGCATTTCACAGGCTGGGATGGTCAGTTGGCGTAAGTTGGGTCATTTGGGCATGCGTCAACGGCTATGGAGGTACAATTGTACAACTTCTATAACACAAAATAATAATAATAATAATAATTTCCTAATTACTTAGGACCTGTTGACTCGATCCTTTCGTGGAAATATTTCCTTCCATTAAGTAAATTGAGTTTCTGTGCCTATTTAGTTCACATGGACCTCATGTATTATCACATGTCCATAATAAGGTCGTTAAGCTACCTCTCTCACTTTGAAATGGTACAAAAAAAAATAACCTTAAAATAGTATTAAAATTCATGTATTTATGAGTTTAGGTTTTTGAATTTCTTGGAAACTTGATCATGATGATTCCACTCACTTTCTGGCTATACCTGGCTGTGGACGCGCCTTGCCAGGTCATCATTCGTGCAGCATTTGGGAAACGTAACATAATTAATAATTAAGTTTTAAATTCTCCAAATAAATAATTTAAAATTTTAGCAAATCGAGCAGCTATTTCGAAAGAGGATGATGTAAAGCATCTCAAAACCGAAAAGGCTTCTGAAAAAATGGCACCGTCTGTGAATGAAGAAAAGCCTGAAGTATCAAAATCATTAGAAAACAATGAGATCGTCACGGAGGACAATAAGAAAGATGAATTGGAAGAGATTAAGAGTAACTAAACCCTTTGTTTCCCTCCTGATTGTTTATTTTATATTTTTAAATAAAAAAATTATTCTGATAAATGGAATCTGAATAAAAAAAAAAAATATTAAAGTCCAACGCTGTAAACAGTAGATAAAGATGCTTGAAAAATTATAACTTGTTTTCTTATCGCTGCGAGAATATGCACACTCAAAGTCCTTCATCTGCGATAATTTTTTGACAAACACAACATTATCCGTTGGCGATATTCATCTCAAGTGGTCCATTCAACAGCGAATAATTTATTCAATCTAACTCGCCGCTAAGACTGGTGCAATGCTCTCTACAAAAGTTGGGGAATTTCTGTTATTATTTTATTTCCTCCACTTTTGGTTGCCTATATGCAGAGCCGACTGTGAAAGTGACATTGCCGCTTACATTCAAGGTCTCCAAAGCCAGGAAAGAGAAGAATGGGCACTGACAAGTAAATTATTCTGCTACTTTTTTTAAACAGCGGAACTAATTAAGAAGAAACTTATAATTACAGTGCTAGACTCGTCGGCAAAAATACCTGCAGGACTGATTGTGACTTCATATCAAACGCCTATGGGCAACGTCATGACGCACTTAGGGAATTTTGATGAGTGCGTATCACTTGAAGTTAACCAGGGCGAATTAAATTTCAAGGGGCAGTACTGCAAAGCAACCATGCAACTGTCATCATCAGAAAATAAGGTTTTGCTTTTTGATATTTAAAGTCATGTTTTTACTTTTATCTAAAAATACAGTTTGAAAATATATCTCTCCCTGGTCAATGGGCTGTTTGTGCACCATCGACTTGTGGGCCAGAAGGAGTGAAAGAGGTGGCTGATTTTAATTTGAACTTCTTTCTATCACCCTTCAACGTCACAACTTCGACGACAGTTTTGGGACACACATGTTATTATGATGGAAACGGATTCAAAAATCTAGACGCAGCGGCTTGGGTTTTTATGTAATTTTTTAATTATTTAATATCACATACTATTATGTAATTTTTTTATAGATCTTTTTCTACTATACTGATTGTTTGGATAATTTGCTCGACCGCTCTGGAAATTTTATCGGAGAAAAATTCGTTCTTCCTTGTATCTGCCTACTCTCTGAAATCAAATTTGCGCGATCTGTTCAAAATTCCCAGAAAGTTTCAGCCAGGGCAGTTGGGTTGTTTAAATGGTATTAGGGTTCTGAGCACCTTGTGGATTATATTGTGTCATACGTACGGTAGTGGATCTGCATACCCTAACATTAATATGCAAGATGCATATAATAAGGCAAGTTTAAATAATGCTTTTGTTCTTTACATGTTTAATTTTAACTTTTTCCAGTATTTATCGGATCCAAGCCTAACTGTTATAACAAATGGCGCTCTAGCGGTTGACACATTTTTTTTCTTGAGCGGACTATTGACTGCCTACATTGTTTGCATGGAAAGATTGAAAGGGCGGCCTTTTATCGTGTGGAAATATTACATTTATAGATATTTGAGGTTTGAAATTGAAAAATACAATGACAAATATTATTTTTGCAAATAACAAAATTAATCTCATATTTAGGCTGACCCCGCCGTACGCATTTATGATTTTTTACCTTGCTACAATTCATCGACTATTTATCACCGGCCCATATTGGGATTGGATCGAGTCGGCCCATCAGAGGTGCTCGAAATGGTGGTGGCTGAACTTGCTTTACGTGACAAATTATTTCAAAAGCAACGAGGCACCTGTACCTTAAAAAATCTGTTTGACAGGCACAATTTTATTCTGCATTAAATGTTTCAGTGTGTGGGCCAAGCGTGGTACCTAAACGTGGACATGCAGCTCAGCTTTTTGGCCCCTTTGATTCTCCTCCCTTTATTCAAATGGCCCAAACAAACATTGTGGGCAATGGGAGTTTTGATTTTGGCGTCGATGAGTGCAACCTTCGCCGTTACTTATACGGAACATTTGACTTGGACGGTCACAGCAACCTTAATGTTAAATTCAATTTTCAATGTTTGGAACGATTTTAATAATTTTTTTTATAGACCAGGGGCAAAAGATTTTGGAAAGCTTGTTTACAGTAACACCCCAATGCGAGCGGTCACCTATCTATGCGGAATGCTTTTAGGTCACTTGCTTAGCAAAAATCGCAAGGTGATCATTCCTCTCTGGGCGGTGTTACTTGGCTGGCTATCAAGCACTGCAATATGTCTCTCCATCATGATGACAGTTTCAATCACTTATCAAGACGGATTTGTCTATGACCCTCTGCAGGCGGCTTTTTACGCCGGTTTCCACAGACTTGGTTGGTCACTCGGCCTTGGCTGGGTGATTTGGTGCTGCGTAAATGGATACGCAGGTTAGTTAAATTCATTTTTCATAAGGAAAATAATTTCAAGCTAATAACTAAAAATTAAAATAAGGGCCTGTTGACAAGATTCTGTCATGGAAATATTTTGTACCACTCAGCAAGTTGAGTTATTGCGCTTATTTAGTGCACATGGACGTTATTAACGCACACATGGTTCAAACAAGGGTTCCGAAATATATCAGCCATTATGAAATGGTACTTTTAATTACTATTAATATTTATGCGTTTTATGTATTCTTTCAATTAAATTTAATGATTTTAGATGTACTTATTTTTTGGCGAGCTTGTAATGTCTACCCCGTTTACTTTAATTCTCTACCTAGTGGTTGAAGCACCAAGTTTGAATATTCTTCGCACCATCCTAGGTAAAAACAAATTCAATACTTTTCTTGTAATGCTCATTAAAATAATATGATTTCACCAGGAAAAAAGAAGAACGAAACAAAAAAATCCCTTGATAAAGAAAACAAGATCAATGAGCAGTGATAAGAATATTAAAATTCCCCCAGAACATTAAATAATGATAATGGTCAACCAGTGCATGTAATTGACGTAAAAGCTTTTGATTTCTGTATATGTCAAGGTTGTTTGGGGGGGGGGGGGGACGTCAGACAAACCATTCAATAGAAGCCCACTTAAAATAGTCTCAAATGTGACTCAACTTCTTTTTGTCACATGATTATATTCAAATCTAATCACTCTTGCAATCAATCACGTCACTCTTCAACTGTTCGAAAATATTTAAATTATAAATCATCTTGCGTCATTACGCCAAGATAAAAGTGTTGGTCATTTTTTTTTCAATGAAAAATATGTAAATTGTGAACCATAGTTAAAATATTTAGACAGCTTCAATGATTTTGACTGTTTTTAAAACTTGAAAATGTGTTGAACTACATGAAAAAAATCTGCTCCTATTACCTCAAAATACATTAATTGCAATGAACTAAATTAAATAGAAAATTAAACAAAAAAAAATGATAAAAAGATGATAAAGATATTAAATGTAATGCAAAATAATCAATACTCAATTGCATATTCTCTAATAAAATTCAGCCATTTTTGTTACATCAAATATCATCAATTCAATTCATTCTTGTGACATTATTATTTCATGAGGGCACATGAGGGTACATCCAGTAAATACATTGAAATTATCAAAACAACTGGAAGATTTTAATTGAGACGAGGTTTTTCGTGGAAACTGATTGTACCACTCGTTATACATTTGAAACATAAAACGGTAATTTACGCAGTTTCGTCTTACACCAGTGCATGTTTTGCAAGGAGAAAACTTTTAAGAATTAATAATAATTTTAAGAGAAAAACGGACATATAAAATATTTTTACAAAGAATAACAAAATATCTTGTTCCTTGGTGTCAATGCCAACCAAATTCAAAACACGGATGCTTTTAAATTGTTAGCCATATAATTATGTCAATAAATATATGATGTAAATTTCTCTAAGCACCTGAAAGTTTTTAACTTTATATTTCCTTAAAGATTTTATAAATTTAATTTAAAGGAAGATATGCAGAGCTAGTATTTTACGTTAAGGAAATAAAACTAATGAATAGAAAAAAAAGTTAAAAACGATTTTGCTGATTCTGGGAGAAATTGATAAAAAAAAACGATAGCCCCTCGTCACTATCTGTCCGCCTCTCCCAGCTGATAAATCCTATAAATCAGTTAACATTAAACAGAAGAAGCAAAAGTGCACCAAAATTTTTAGACATAATTTAAAAAAAATGGAAGTAGTGTTTGTTCTTGGTTTTGCGCTACTTTTTTCAAGTGCAAGAAGTGATTGCGATAGTGATGTAGAAGAATATTTCCAAGGGCTGACATCCAATAGCCCTAAACTTTGGGCACTCGAGAGTAAGAATTTCGTGATCATTTATTGATAGAACTTAAACCCTATTTTAAAAGTGTTTGACTCTTCAATCAAGTCATTGGGCGATGGGTACATGGAGTTATCATTCATTTACCAACTGGGTAATTTTGACGAGTGCTTAGCGGTAGAAGGACCAATCACGGCTGACGGAAAACCAAGATTCACAGGACAATATTGTCAATTTGCAATGGGTCTTCAAGGTATTCCACAGATGGAACACTTAATGCAGAATAACAGCGTCAAAGAGACGCTTCAAATTCAACGGAATTTGAGGCGAATTTTGCATGTGAGCTTTTTTTCCTTTCAAAAGAATTGAAGTCTTTTTATTTATACAAGTTTTTTATTTAATTTTAGCACCCAGATTTCCAATCCTTGAACGAACCATTTATGCTTCCCACACTTTGGGGAGTTTGCGTTCCATCTTCTTGCGGGATTGAAGGCGCTAAGCGGGTTGCGGACTTCAACATGCAATTTTACGCAAATTCTATAGGGTTCATGGCAAATACAAGCGTGTATCCTGAAAACTGCTACTATGAAAATGACGGCTCAGAAGTTTTAGATGCTGGTTCATGGTCTTTCATGTAAATTGAAACAAACAAAAAATTACTCAAAAATAAGTTTCCATTACTTTTTTCAGAGCTTTTGCAATTATTCTGGTTGCTATTATTTTCGTCGCAACTATAATTGACGTATCTAAAAGGGAATTAAATAATTCTGGTAAAATATCAAGGATTTAAAGATAATATTATAAGTATTAACGCAAAATTCGTTTCAGGAATGCAGTCATGTGTAAAAGCCTTTTCCCTAAAACAAAATCTAACCGACTTGTTAGCACTGCCAAAGGTTCACGCTACCGGGCAATTAAGTTGCCTTCATGGAATGAGGACCTTGTCGATGTTGTGGATCATCTTGTGTCACACATATTCAAACGCCGGAGCTTTTCCTTTGGTGAATTACGTATCCTACACTCAAAAGGTTATTTTCAAATTTTTCTAAGACCAATTATAAAAACGATTGGGCATTTTTTTCAGTTTTCGCAGCAGTGGTTTATGGCTCCAATATTGAACGGTTATATGGCCGTTGACACTTTTTTCTTACTGAGCGGGCTGTTGACGGTTTATGTGCCCATGATGGATCTAACCAAAGGAAGAAAATTCAATATTTTCAAATATTACATTTATAGATACCTAAGGTATTTTATTTGAAATAAAAACAATTTGGAATTGTTCCTGTCCCCTCAAACTTTAGGATCACCGTACCTTTGGCAGTTGTTATCTGGTTTTTAGCCACAGTGAGTTTCCACTTAGGCAAAGGTCCCTTATGGATAGCCTCCTTCGAATATCCTAGACAAATTTGCCAAGACTACTGGTGGGCCTCATTAATTTACATCGCAAACTACTTCTACGAAAATGTAATTAAATAATATTTAACTATTACTTCACAAGAGAAATTTATACAGTGCCTCGGGCAAGCCTGGTATCTCTGTGTCGATATGCAGTTGGCCCTTCTTGCACCTTTGATCATCTACCCTTTGATGAAGTGGCCTAAATTTGGTTTGACTGCAATCTTTCTCCTCACCTTAGGGTCAGTGGGTGCTGTTTTTGGTGTGACATATGTGGAGAAGTTACCGTGGACAATGCAAATTGATTCAGAGTAAGATGAAGGGCCTCTTTTTTCAGAAAATAATTTAATTTCAAAATATAGTATTCCCACAATAGAACGCTATTGGGACATAATCTATGTAAATACACCCATGAGAGCGGCTCCATACCTTTGCGGTATGGCTCTCGGCTATGTTCTGAGTAAGAAAATGCAAATCCCCGTGCCAAGATGGGGAGTAGCACTAGGCTGGTTTTTAAGCATGGCTCTCATTCTGGGAGTGATTTTCCTCAGCTGGATCCCATACAACGAAAGCTATGATTCTGAGCTGTATGAACCGTTAGCTGCTGCTTTTTTTGGAAGTTTTCACAGACTGGCGTGGAGCCTTGGCCTTTCATGGATCATTTGGGCCTGTGTTAATGGTTTGGGTGGTATGCATTTTTTTTTTAATACTATTAAATAAAAAATAATAATTAATATTGTTAAATAAATTATAATAATTTTTAGGAATTATCAACTCAATTTTGTCTTGGCAGTATTTCTTGCCGTTGAGTAAATTGACCTTTAGTGCATATTTGACACACTTGGCGGTCATGGGTGTACAGATGGGCCTAAGAAGAGTGCCTTCCTATGTGTCGCATTTTGAGAACGTTCGTATTTCCAATGAGAAAAATTATAAAGCTGATTTTAATATTTTTAGTTCTACCTATTCAGTGGATTCCTTTTACTTATCATGCCATATACACTCTTCATCTATTTAGCAGTTGAAGCACCGCTCATGTCACTAATGCGGCTAGCTTTCAAGAAGAAAACAGGTGAATCACACCTTGTCTATTTGATTAAATATTTGCTCAATCAAGTTGCATTTATTAATTATAGAATCTGCCACAAAACGGATCGACAAGATTCTAGGAAAAAAATCATAGATGGCGAGGGCACCATTTCTTAATTTGAATAAGATTGTAGTTGAAAAAAAAATCAATGAACATAATGAAAATTAAGAAAAAAAAATTGTTTTTAACTATGTAAAACCTTGTTCTTATATAAAAATTTAAAAAAAAAATGTACGTCTGATTTGCTTTTAAAATTGGTTTATAAATTCATTAAAAAAATTTAAATTATTTCTTGTTAAATGCATATTTGTTTACATAAATCTTTTTTACATAAAGTAATTTTTGCAATTACTCTTTAATGTCAAATTTTCTATTCATCTTGAATGCGAGTAAAAGTTTATTCTAGGTAAATCAGGTAAATGTGAGTGTATGATGAATATGAAAAGATAAGGATTATATTTTTAATTGAAATATTTTTCTCAGCGTTTGGTTACTTTGCAGTTTAGAATCGATATTACATAATCTCCCAATCAGCATAAGTGTTACTAAAGGACCAATAATTATTTTGGCTGTAATCAAAATGAGATAGTAACCAAATGACCTTTTGCAGGCAAATCGCTGTTTTTATCTCAATGACTTTTTGTAACTCAACAGCCACTCAGATTTTCACAAACAAGATTTCCAAAATTGTATACAAATGATTCAGACTTGCATATCTACAGATAATTCAGAGCGCTGCGTCAATACAAAATCTATCTGAATTTGTGTCCACTTAGATTTTGCGCATTTTTTTCATAAGTTACCTGATGGCTCTTGAAATCTAGCAACTTTATAGCAGTCCTTATTTTTTTCACAAGAAATTCTGCTGAAACACAGCACTTACTTCTCACAATGCAGCTACTTTACGGAATAATTTTTCTAATGATCGCAAAATGGTCTAAAGCTGATTGTGATAGTGACATTCAGGCATATACACAAGGATTAAGCCGAGCCGAAGAATGGGCACTAGAGAGTGAGTTCCTACATATTTTAATTTTTTGGTCGTATATTTTAAAACTATCATCAGTGCTGGACTCGTCTGTCAAATATCCGCAAGCGGGAATGTTTGAAGGAACACTTTTGGTCCAACTCGGAAACTACGACCAGTGTCTTTCTTTAAGAGGGCCCGAAGACACGCCAGGTGTTCCACGATTCAAGGGCCAATACTGTCACTTTAATTATGGGTTCCAAAGCCCTGAAGTGGAAATTTTGAATGAAACCTATGAAGAAGCAATTAGTTCAAGAAAGGCGCTTGATCGAATGACTCGCGTAATATTTATATATTTAAATTTACAAATTGCATGAATTTGAAATAATTTTGTTAATAAAACTAATTAAGCCAAGAAGAAACAGTAAATCTGTAGCTCCTGTGGTTCTTCCCTTTCTGTGGGGTGTTTGTGCACCATCATCGTGTGGCAGCGAGGGCGTGAAAAAAGTTGCAGACTTCAACGTCAATTTTTTTACTGGAATTTTCAACGTCGAACCAAGAACATCCATTGTTCCTGGATCTTGTTACTATGAGGGCGACGGCTCAAAAACTCTAGAAGCATCGTCATGGGCTTTCATGTAAATTTTTTTAGCGAATTTAATTTATACGGTCTTTAATGTTACTTATAGCGCGTGTTTTGGGCTCCTTTTAATATGGATTGTGATCTCGACTGTTTATGAATATTTGAGACCCAATATGGATGCCTTGGGTAAAAATTAAAAACAAATAAAACTGTTTATAGTAATAAAATTTTTTAAAAAGGCTGGAAAATTCTAATAAAATCATTTTCACTTCAAACAAACTTGGGAGATTTGGTCAAGCTACCAACAACCCACGCTCCAGGGCAACTGGGCTGCCTGCATGGAATTCGCGTCATGTCCTTAATGTGGGTGGCTTTTGGACATTATTTCTTGTTCCACACTGCGTGGCCCACAACCAACTATGTCTCTCAAACTCTAGCGGTGAGATATATTTAATTATTCTAGCCCTGTTCTAGCCTTTTTTGATGATACGCATATTTTATCAACTAAAAAAATTAATTCATTCATTAATTCTATCTAAATTAGGCAAGGATGCGTTGGAGCATGGCGCCTATACTGAATGGGTACCTCTCCGTTGACACTTTTTTGCTGCTAGGGGGAATTTTGTCCACGTATGTGCCATTAATGGATCATCAAAAAGGACGGAAATTTATCTTTTGGAAGTATTACTTGTACAGATATTTAAGGTGAGAAAATATTTTTGAATTAAGGTTTTTTTATTTAATTAATCTTTTTTTTTCAGAATTACACCAGCCTTAGCTGCAGTTATGTGGTATATGGCGTCAATTAATAATTATGTAGCTCACGGACCAATGTGGTATTTCACTGTTGGAATGCGCAAAACCACCTGCCAAGAAAACTGGTGGCCCACTCTACTTTATATAACAAACTACGTTTATGAAAATGTATCCTCTTAATTGGAGAAATTTTACCAATTTTATTTATTTTAAATTTCAGTGCATCGGTCCAGCCTGGTATTTGTGTGTAGACATGCAGTTGGCTCTTTTGTCACCAATCGTCATCATCCCCTTGATCAAGTGGCCTAAATATGGATTGGGCATTTTAGGTTTCTTGACTTTAAGCTCAATGGTGGCAGTTTTTACTGTTACCTACGTAGAAAGATTTCCGTGGACATATGTTTCAATCGGCGGGTATGAACCAATCAATATAACATCATTTTGATAATTATATTTTTTTTAAATGTATTTCTTTTCCCAGACAAGACTTGGCCCGTTATATTGATGTTTTTTACTCCAACACGCCACTCAGAGCAATCCCTTACCTAGTTGGCATGGCGCTTGGTTACATTTTAAGCAGAAAAACTAAAATTTCAATCCCGAAATGGGGAATTGCTCTTGGGTGGTTGTTGAGCGCCGCCATTTGTCTGACCATTGTGTTTACCATTCTCATTGTCTACGCCGAGGATTATGTTTATGAGCCAGTGGCGGCGTCTTTTTATGCCACTTTTCATAAGTTTGGATGGGCCATTGGAGTTGGTTGGGTGATTTGGGCTTGCGTAAACGGATACGGAGGCAAGAATTAATTCTGAATTAAAAATTGGACCAAAATAAATTACTTCTTTTAATAGGGCCAGTGAATAGCATTTTGGCTTGGAGGTACTTTGTACCCTTCAGTAAACTGAGCTTTGCCGCCTATCTCATTCACCAGGACATGATGGATTTCAGGCGTGCACTGCGAAGGACTGCTAATTACATAAGCGCCTTTGAAATGGTTTGCATTTTTTTTTTTTCAAAAAAAGTTTGACAAGTTGAACATGCGTATAATTACAGTATTACGAGTTTGCCGCCTTTGTGATTGTTCTGGCGCCCTTTTCCGCTGTGCTCTACACCATGGTTGAAGCTCCAATCATGAATTTATTAAGGATTGCTTTCAGAAAAAGTAATGCGTCATAATTTGGTGGCATCCTAATTACTAACTAAAATTAAATTCATTTTACAGAATCACATCCAGCAAATGCTAAGTCCGTGGATCCAATGGCCAAGTCGGATAAAGATAATTAACTAAATAATTCAAATTGGCTCATGCTCTTGTATTCGGATTTATTGAGAAAGCCAATAAGAATTCATAAAAAAAAACTAAATAAAGAAAATTTTGGTGTCAGTTTTCAATTTAATAAAAAAAAATAGAACGCTAACGAATTTTCGATTGATGATTTTATCATAACAATAACACCAATACAAGAAAAATAGGCAGGCCTTTCACGTTAAAGTCGTGCCAGTTTTTTAAATTTGGCTTGCCATCCTCATAAAATTTCTTTTTTTTTTCTTTTTTAAAAAGAAATAACACGTTACAAATATAAAATTATTTTATCAATCCTCTGACCTGATGCCTCTGATCAGGATCAACACATTGAAACTCATTGTTTCTGTTTGTTGCATTTGGCTTGTTTAATATGTGCGCATAAATAAAATTATTCAAATTTTTAAATTTTATTTCAAAATGTTTAAAAAATTCCGTATTTTATCTTCAAGAATAAAAAAATCTAAAATGTTTATTTTTAAAAGTTTTTTCTGATTGTATATTAGGCCCTCTACAGATATATGAAAGAGATTTATTTCCACTTGTTAGCAAAATGTACGCCCGGGAAGGCCGGGAAATGCTTTCGAATTTGAATTTATCTCCCCTAGCTGCACTAGTGTGCGTTACGCTCACTCAACTTCCACTTGAGGTAAAAACAATAATAATATGATTTGTTTGATGCGGGGAGATACCGTGAAGTGCGTGGATATCAACGCACACTGCGCACGTGAAATTATTTTCGATTGAACAAGTACGGCGGAAAAAGCGGCGGCGCGCTGGAGAAGGAAAGCAATGCTGGGAAAACTGTCAGGCTGCACCGCTGATTTCATTTGTCGTCATGGATACGGCGCGAATATTATCAAAACTTTGAGAGAGCGTAGCCGGAATATGATTTTCGAGATGGCACAACAACAAACTGATGCGCCGGCAGCGTCACCATGGAAACCGGAGCGGAGCAAAAGCCGTCGAAGCGACGGTTCAAAAGCCCTCTGCTCCATTTTTGGCAAATAAAATGAGCTTTCAAAACCTGAGTTTTATCATGCGCTATACAAAAATGAGGACGTTTGTATTTTTCAAATTCTTCTTCTTAAGAATTGAGAGGATAGATGATAGATTAATAGTTGTAAAATTATATTAAATTATTAATGAGCTAGAGATAATAATACTAGGAAAAAGTCATGAAATATATATTTTTAAGTAGCATAGCATGAATTAAATTCATAATTCAAAGTATTGAGACAAAAGAAAAAAAGATGAATAATGGTTTCCTTGAATGAAATTGGTTCATAATCATCTTTTACAGGGTTTTATACCCCTTCTGGAAATTATAAATATTATGTCTTTGTATTATGCTTTCTATCAGTTATTGTGCCATAAAGACACCTGATTTTTTTAACTATTCTATTGAATTTTTTTATGTTTTACTAATTAAATAGAGATATGTGTAGTACATAACAATAGCAAAAATTTGACAAACAAAATTATTTTGGATGAATTTATATTATTATTTAACATAATTATCATATTTCAATTCCGCTATTATGTATGTACAATTCATGCCTCCCTTTCCCTTAGCATCATAATTATGATTTTAAATTACACATAAATAATAAGTGTAAGTGGATAAATTTTCTTACCTTAAATGATGCGATTGATGCGTTGATGAGTGCGGCTGCCGGCGGGAGTGCAAAGTAACCACATATTTAATTGATTTGTTTCTCCACGAACATAAAATCTCACTTGCAAAATGTACTAAGCTGATGCTTCTTTTTCTTACATAAAGTTTTACTCTAACACTATCGCTATCATACCAAAATAGCATCCAAAAAGAGCTACTCTGGTAATTATGAAGTGGTTTTCTTCCCAAATTTTCACTTTGTTTTAGCAAGTGCGTCATGCGTAGGAGGTGCAGCTGATCAATGTACGCCAACGTAAACAAATACATACAGCACGCTTATAATGTTTCAAGCCTGCTCTATGGCGCGCGGTCTCTTGATCACCTCTATTTTTGTTTATTTATCTCGCAATTTCCCCTTAAGAACTTAACTGCAGGGCAGGATGACATAGAACTGCACAGTTATTTTGAATTCAAATCTTAAAAAAATACGTTTTCCTATTTATTTATCTTAATTGCTGAAAATTGTAATTTTTTTTGCAGTTCTTTTTGTAAGCAATTTATTTACATACTTCTTTTTATGTAAGGCATTGAAATGCGTGATCATAAGAATTTTTTGCTGTGTCTATTCATTATTTTCTTTTGCAAGATGAATGATTCTTATAAATAAATCTAGGAAATCATATTAAATTATTCTCTTCAAGCGCGACTTTTTTCATAATTCTACTTTTTGCAACAATTCAACATCGAATGTTAAAATTTTTTAAATAGATGTGTAAAAATTTATTTAAATCAATACAAATATATGAATGAACCGGCAAGATTATAACATAAAACTATAATATACGTACAAAACAGGTTAACATAACAAAATATAGTTCCGTAACAAATTGCTCACTGGAGTAAGTCTATGCAAGGTAAACAAGAATATGCATAAAATATAAAAGTGTCAATAAACATTTAACAAAGAAAAAATAAGAAGAATCCCTTAATCCAGATTAAAACAGCTCGGATTTATCACGCATTTGTTTGTTGCTTAAAGTTGGCAAAGACAGCTCAATACTTGGCTCTCAGTAAGTGAGAAAGACTGTTGTTGTAAGAATCATGAACAGGTTTAGAGTTGAGGGGGCTCAACATAGCTGATGCCAAAAGTCTCTCATACACTTGGCCATCATAGCTTCCAAGAGCAGACCCAACAATCTCATCTCGCAAGTCAAAACTGTCGACCAGCCCCACAGCATTTGGACGAATCTTCAAAAGTAACTCATTTTGCCAGTCTTGCAAATTTTGGATGTCATCGCTTCGCAGACCACAGAACTAGAAATAATAAAATGTTTGAAATAAATGGTTTATTATTAAATTTGTTGGGTAATGAACACATTGATGAGTTTAATATACAACATACCTGGAGGAAATCTCCTGATTTTTTCAGGGCCCAGTATACGCAGTAAAGGTCGCAAAGTTGCACCAAGACCTCTTTGATAGGGTCACTCAGCTCGTTGACACCAAAGCGCACGGTATCTAAAAAGCGGTCAGTTATAAATGCTCGGCAATGAGCTTCGGCAGCATCCGTCAACTGGACAGAAGTTTTGTTCCAGGCATCCTCTGGTGCCAGACCAGAGTCTCTGCCCTTCTGCAAACTCCTGGCACAAGCTGCCACCTGAATAAAACTTTAAATTAAATTTGTTTCTAGCAAGTATGCGTTTGTTCCAACCTTTCCAGCAGCGATTTTCTTGAATCCCTCAACAATACTATCTGTTGTATTGTCCCAGGCTCTGAATTGTCTGTTAGGCCTCAGATACTCCACTGTGGGGGAAAGTTCCTCCTTGGATGGGGGAAAACAAGGATTTAAAAAGTCTAAAAATTAAAAAAATTGGGCTTACTCCTGCTTTGGCTTTGGTATATGCCTTCATAAGGGCCCTGGCTGTTTGCAAGAGCATCACAGTGTTTTCACCTTCGTAAGTACTAGCAGCTGTAACGTTGCCGTAGGTGGTTGGGAAATTACTGCAGGCCATGTAGCCGTGGCCACCACAGGAAAGTCGGAGAGTTTCGATTGCTGTTGCAGTATCTGCTGTGCTCACCGCTTTAAGGCAACATGCAATCGAGTGCAGCTAGAATCAAATTATCAAATCAAAAAGTTGTAAAAATATTAATTCATTACACTAACCTCTGGCAGGAGCTCCAGGTCGCCAGCGTCAATTTTGGCAGTCACATCATTGTACATTTCCCAGAGCCATTTGGAGGAAAATTTGAGTGCGTAGACGGTAGCAAGGAATGGGAACAATTTATACATTTGAGTCAAGTAGTCCATGATCTGAGGCTCCTGCTGCCTATTTAGTTTCAGTATTTTACAGTGAGACATTGCTTGTATATTGCAAAATTGTGTACTTACCCAGCAATCATCTCAGATTGTCTTCTAACGGCACTGTATCTGACTGCAATTGTCACTGCCTTGGACAGATAGGATGCCATGTCCTGCACAATCACTACTCGAACAAACATCATTGTGCCATAGGTCAGCTTGTTACTGGGGGATTTCACGTAAGTTCCATCCTGTACGTATTTATGTTCAAGTTTGTTTTTAGTACAATTAAATTTAGATTTACCGGAAGCACTTGGGCGTTTTTCATCAGCATTTGGTTTCTCGGAATGGGCGTTTGCTTGAAGGCAAGGAAGCCGTTGTTGGTTGCATTCATGCCAAGTTTGGGCCCGATTTCTCCAATTGTGACGCCTGGCATGGGTCGATGAGTCTTTTCATCTCTGAGCTGAACGATAAACGGATGAATGCCGTGGCATTCACCCTTGGTGTAAAGTTGAGCTACCACAACTGCATAATTTGCGGTTTGGCCAACTGGAAAATGATGAAAATTTAATTATGTACAAATATTTCAAAGATTGATATATTCGATATAATCCAAATTTAATTTAAAAGCTAATATGTTTATTTACAAAGGGCAAAATATCACTTTGAAATTTAAGAAAAAAAAAATAAATAACACTGTAAAATTGATATTTATCACTATTATTTTGAAAGTAAATGTTAAAATTTTTTTTTACTCTATTTAATTTTAGACATATTGAATTTAAATTGAAAAAAAAAATTTGGACCTTGGAAGATTTGTTTTAATTTGTTTATCAAGGTTTTCAATTAACTATACATAACAAAAGTAATCAGTGTGCTAGAGATAAGATTTGTTCCAAGGGTCAAATTTCATTGGATATGAATCAAAGCAGCAGGTAATTTTTTCTGAAACTCACGTCCACCAGGCCACCATTTGTACGAAGTTAAAGTTGGACTGTTGAGGAAGAACTGCTGAGTCTTTGGATTGTACGTAGCTGTAGTCTCAAGGCCTCTAATAAAAGTTCCATGGCCAAGCTCGGTCTAAATTGATGATTATTAAAAATTAAAAAAAAAAAAAAAAAAAACATAATCAATTTGATCATACTTGTGCATATGTTCCGATCACTCTACAGTCCCAAGCTTTTTCAATCCAGTAGGCACATTGCTCTGGTGTACCCTGACCCATCAGAGTAGGAATGAACATCACATAATGCAGTGCAAGAGGGTTTCCATCCTTCAGGATGGCTGAGCCCAACGAGCCTCCGAGTAATTGACTAGAATTAAGTTATTAATAAAATTTTATTAAAAAATAAAAATTTCTAGTCATTTTTAAAAAAGTAACTGAAATATAATCATGGCTTTTATGGCAGTTTTTACCGATAATTGTCGATGGTTCCACCCTTCTCTCTCAATTCCTTTAATTTCTTGAAGAGGTAACATGCTTTCTTCAGTCCGTTTCTGTACTGATCTTCATGGCTCATGAGCTCAGGAGGAATGTCGTCCAAAAGTTCAGGATCGCTCAGGAAGAAGTTTTCTATGAAAATTAAAAAATATGTATGTAAATTTAAAAAAAAAATCAGAAAATTAATAAAATAACAATTTTAAAATGGATTTTTTTTGTTTTCGATAAAAAACAATTAAACGTAATTATTTGTAGGCTTTACCTCTTTCTTTCCTGTCCTTGTACTTTTCGATCCCTCCATCCAAAAAGTATGTGAGCTCCAAATTGTTGAAATTGCATTTTTCTCGCTCCTTTTGCAGGTCGGGGTTGACCTTTCCTGGAACGACAACGTACTCTTTGTTGGGCACTTGTTTGCCAGCCAATCGACCAAACATGATTGCACCTTTCTTCGTACCTTCTGCGGTCACACGTTAATTAAAAATCAGCTATCACAATTAGGAATCAATGTTGATTGACAATCTTGGTTGTAAAATTCACAGCGCGATCGAAGTTCAAAGATAAAGGCTACAACGGATGTGATAGCGACATGTTATGCAGAGTCGGTGGTCGGATCGCTTTCGCAATTCTCAGCAGCTTTGATGTTATGAGCAAGCATTTTTTAATTTATGTGCTGCAAAGCGCAGAGGCTCATTCTCCGAATCAAAACACTCGTCACTCGCACTTTCTCATGTGGAGGAAAGTGGGACAACATCAGTGGAAGACGGAAATCGAGACACGTTACGCGATCTGCCATCTATTCCATTTACTAACTATTTGTTAGAAAAGAGCGCGGGCCGCCTTGCCTTGATATCCTGAATGCGACTATGGCTCTATAATTGCATGTTATGATTATTCATATTGCCATAAAATAAAACGGATAAAATAAAAATAAAATTTTACTTAATTTTTTAACAATAATTTTAAAAAAAATATAGGACTTCAATAAATCAATAAAACTAGAGTGGATAGGCTTATTTATGCGAAATATGAAAATGTGATACATTATCCAAATTAGAAAACTTCCAATGTAAATTATACTTTATACTAATATTAAAAAAAATAGCTTTCTTTCTGCAAGAGTCCACTGAAGGAAACGGTAGACAAAAAAATTTAAAATTACGTTAAATCCCTCTAATGCTTAAATTTAAAATTATCATTTTGATTGACTATCGACTTGCTTTAATTTAGCTAGTTGAATATCGCATTCATTCTAGGCAATTAATGTTTCAATGTATACATTTTCATTATAAAAAAACTTAAATTTATTTATCAAAACCGATCGTTCATTATATTCTTAAAAAAAAAATCATTAAGAAAAGAATAAATGTTAGATTTTTTAAATGCCTCTGATAAAGACAATGGGTGAATTATTCACATTATGATATCAGCCATTTTACAAGTTATTAGCTTATTGAATGCTATGATATAGCAATTCAATAAGCTAATTATGATAAGTAATTTAGTATGTTAATTATCCCCCATAGCTGCCCAGCCATATTAATTTTGTTTATTTTTATTGGGTTCTTTTTGTCCATTTAAATTAAACATTGTCCTCATAAGAAAATTCAGAATTTTTATAAAAAGGCAATGACAAAGGCACACGGTTATTAAATATTTACAAGTATATGCATTTATGCTCACGATGTAGCAACTTGTAGCTTAATATTAAAAATAAATAGTTGTATAAAATTACTGCAATGAATATAGACATATAGAGTATAAAAATAAAGCAAATAAAGTGACTAGCTTATATCATTGGGAAACAATTGGCGCTCTCCTTCGTGAAGGAGGATCTTCATGGCATTCTGCAATAAATAAACCCCAAAATTACACCTAACGTTCGAAGACTTTGTTGACACCTTTCCATAATATTCGCCTGCTTTTAAATTACACAGATTGTTCAAACCTAGAGCTTCTATCATCGCAGCTTCTCTTGTGAAAGCTTCAACAGCTATCACACTTTGAAATACATGCAAACAGACAACTCCTGCGCCGCTGTTCCAAATGTCCAAAATGCGCTCAATTTTTGGACCATCTTTAACTTTCTTTCCAGACCAAACGTCAACAGCTTCGTAAAGGTGCGAGTAAGGGCGAGATCTTTTGCCTTTTCCAACGTAGAAAATAGAGCTTACAAAAGCTTTCCAAACTTCGCATAGTTCCAAGGATGAAGATCGCAGTGGAAGATTGTCGGAAATCCTTGGGTCAAGAAGAAGGTATGTAAAAGAATTCTTGCTGTTTCCACCACGCCACTTGCGTCCTTTCAATATGGACGCATTGAATTCTTCCACCATAATCTGCTCGAGCTCCACGGCTGGCATCTGATTGAAATTAGAAATATCTTGAAGTGTTTTTTCAAGTTCTCGGCTGAACTCTAAAAATAAAAAATAAATAAAAAATTAAATTGAAGTGAATTTTATGATATTATTAGCTAACTCGTACTTATTATTTCTTGAGGTTGTGCTGAAGTTTCTTGTTGTTGGCCTTTTTTTAGTCTGGCTAGTCTATGGAGATAAACAACTTTTGTGGACTTTGTAATAGGGCCTGGTGTAAAGCCACGCTCAATCAGTTCATTCCGTAATGAGTCCGTGCTATAGCCTAATTCAGAATGCAAGGACGGCAGGCTACTGCATGAGCGTTGTAAGACTAAAAAGAGAAAATTTTGAAATTTAGTTAAAAGTAGAGCACGTAATAAAGATAGACTTTCTCACCTTCTTCTTCATCACTGGAGCTTTGAGATTTTTTTTTGCAACATTTCAGCCCCATTTCTCTAAAATGAAACACAGTCAGCCAAACATTAACACTTAACAGCAAGTGGAAAAATTACGCGTTCATTGGCAAAATCCTCTTCTCAAACAGAGTCACTCCTTTAGACTCATCACAATATTTGTAGACTTCTGACACAATTGTACTTTGACCAGCACTTAGACTTCCACACGAAAAGAATTCGTCACAGGCAGAATCTGGTGCACTTTTATCATCCTCATCAGACTTTTGAAAGCCGCAATACTTATGGCACCACTCCACCACTTCCTTCTTTATCCGACTTTTTTCATCTTTATCGCTTGTGCATGAGCTACGACCTTCATTTATATTTAAACTCTCTAAACCGAGACACTGCAAAAAAGAAATAAATTACAGTACATACAAAATATACTTCATTTTTATTATCGATTTACCATGTTTTCAGCATCAAAACATGTATTTGCCTGAATATTTAAATCTTCAACTCCAATCCTCTCTAAAATTTAGGAACGAGATATTTATCTAAATATTTTAATTGAAACATTACAAAAAAAAAAATAATTAAATACACACCTAATTTAATTGTAAATTTAGGCTCTGATTGTTCAAGGCTGAGATCGTGATTGTTTTGTTCCTCTAAATAAAAAGACTTCCTAAGAATTTCAATGACTTCTTTGTTTCCTTCTTTTTGGGCATAATCAAGAGCAGTCAGCCCATCATTATCAGTCAACGTCGCATCACCGCCGTTACAAATTAACACCTCCAAGACATCACACTTGCCCCACGCAGCAGCTACGTGAACTGGAGTAGTTCCATCAGCAGCTCTAGAGATAGTTTAAACAAAATTATAAATTTAAAAAATTATGGTGATAATAAAAAATCGTTTAAAATATACCTGCAATTTGGGTCTCCCCCAAACTTTAAAATTATTTTAAGAATTTCCGTAACTTTTGGATGGCTTAAACCAACAGCTAGGTGGATTGGAGCGATTCCAATATTAAAATCCACATGGTTTGGATTTGCATCGTCCTGCTCCAACAATTTTGTTGCCAAACTGAAACGTAAAAATTTTTAAATTTGAATATATAAAAATACACACAAGTTTACGTCAAATAAACGACCTATTACATATTAATATACATGTATGTATGTACATAATATTCATAAGTACATACAGAATATTTTGGTATTTAATCGCTGTAAAAAGTTGCTTGTCCATGTGATTGTCCAATCATTTCACATTCGTACGAAGACAAAGGTGAAAATTATAAGATACAAAATAACAGTTTTCGTTTGTGTCAAAATTTTACGCTGTTTTTCAATGCATAAATGTAAACAAACAACAAAACGATGAACAAAGAGAAAGTTCTGAATCTGAACGCCATTTTAAAAATGCAAAAGGACCTCTACGAGAGCATCGTGAAGTTAGCCAGAAATCCTAGCCAGTCGCCGGAAGTTAGCCAGTTGGCTGGAAATTGGCCACTCGCGTCATTTGGGCGGATGTATCGAATATCGATTCCCGATTTTTTAAAGTGGGGAGCATAGGGGAGGTGAGTATTTATCGCAACTTTTTACAGTTGACCTTCTAATATTCTTCTCATACACCAAGTCGCAGCAATAAATCGCAGTGTTCTAAAAGTGCACGGAGGAAAGAATTTGAGAAGCTAATATGAAAAACAGTTGCAATGGTCTTAAAAAAATTATATTTCAAAGTAAATACAACGAAAATTATATTTAAAACTAAATACAACGAAAATTATATTTCAAAGTAAATACAATGAAAATTATATTTAAAAGTAAACACAACGAAAATTAATCACACCGAGGGACGCATGGGTAAAAATAATGCAAAATCCCTAAGCCTAATAAACAAATGCCAATTTTTGTTTTGCGAATTTTGAAAAAATATCAATTAAAAATTAAGGGAAAATCAAAATATGTAAAATAAGCAACCATCGATGGCTGCAACTTTATTTTCACGAAATTAAAAATATTGAAACTATAAAACTTAGTAAAAAATGCGATAAAACCATGCATTGCAACTTAGAGAAATTTTAATCAAAGTTAACCTTCATCACCCTGAAGAAGAAAAAATGCCAGCCATCGATGGCCGCATCATAGTTTTTAACGAAAAAAATAATTGAAAGTTTGAAAATTTGGAAAAAAGGCAATAAATTTTACTCGGAGCGGCATTGCACAAAAACTATGCATTGGAAGTTAATGCTGTTAATGTAATTTTAATAAAAGTTAGCCCTTATCATCCTGCATGCCTGAATGTAAAAATCTGCCAGCCATCGATGGCCGCATCACAGTTTTTTAAGAAAAAAATAATTAAAAGTTTGAAAAAATGGTAAAAAGGCAATAAATTTTACTCAGGGTGGCGTTGCACAAAAACAAAGGATTGGCAGTAAATGTAATTTTAATCAAAGTTAACCTTCATCACCCTGAACATAAAAAAGGGCCAGCCATTGATGGCCGCGACTTAGTATTTTTATTTGAAAAATAATAAGTTGGGAAAAATTAAAAATATTTTCAAATATAATGCAAAAAGTGGAATTGCACGAATACTATCCATTGGAAGTTAATGAAATTTTGATCAGAGGTAACCTGAATCATCTTGAACATAAAAACGTGCCAGCCATTGATGGCCGCGACTTAGTTTTTTTATTCGAAAAATAATAATATAAAAAAATTAAAAAAATTTCAAAAATAATGCTAAAAGTGGAATTGCACGAATACTATGCATTGGAAGATAATGAAATTTTAATCAGAGGTAACCTGAATCATCTTGAACATAAAAAAGTGCCAGCCATTGATGGCCGCGACTTAGTTTTTTATTTGAAAAATAATTAGTTGGGAAAAATTAAAAAAATTTTACAAAATCAAGCTAAACGTGGAATTTCTCGAATACTATGCATTGGAAGTTAATGAAATTTTAATCAGAGGTAACCTGAATCATCCTGAACATGAAAAAGTGCCAGCCATTGATGGCCGCGACTTAGTTTTTTTATTTGAAAAATAATAAGTTGGGAAAAATTAAAAAGATTTTTAAAACTAATGCTAAAAGTGGAATTGCACGAATACTATGCATTGGAAGATAATGAAATTTTAATCAGAGGTAACCTGAATCATCCTGAACATAAAAAAAAACCAGCCATTGATGGCCGCAACTTAGTTTTTTTATTTGAAAAATAATAAGTTGGGAAAAATTAAAAATATTTTTAAAACTAATGCTAAAAGTGAAATTGCACGAATACTATGCATTGGAAGATAATGAAATTTTAATCAGAGGTAACCTGAATCATCTTGAACATAAAAAAGTGCCAGCCATTGATGGCCGCGACTTAGTTTTTTATTTGAAAAATAATAAGTTGGGAAAAATTAAAAAAATTTTACAAAATCAAGCTTAAAGTGGAATTTCTCGAATACTATACATTGAAAGTCAATGAAAATTTAATCACAGGTAACCTGAATCATCCTGAGCAAGAAAAAGTGCCAGCCATTGATGGCCGAAACTTAGTTTTTTTATTTGAAAAATAATTAGTTGGGAAAAATTAAAAAAATTTTACAAAATCAAGCTAGACGTGGAATTTCTCGAATACTATGCATTGGAAGTTAATGAAATTTTAATCAGAGGTAACCTGAATCATCTTGAACATAAAAAAGTGCCAGCCATTGATGGCCGCGACTTAGTTTTTTTATTTGAAAAATAATAAGTTGAAAAAAATTAAAAATATTTTCAAAAATAATGCTAAAAGTGGAATTGCACGAATACTATGCATTGGAAGTTAATGAAATTTTAATCAGAGGTAACCTGAATCATCTTGAACATAAAAAAGGGCCAGCCATTGATGACTGCGTCTTAGTTTTTTTATTTGAAAAATAATAAGTTGGGAAAAATTAAAAATATTTTTAAAACTAATGCTAAAAGTGGAATTGCACGAATACTATGCATTGGAAGTTAATGAAATTTTAATCAGAGGTAACCTGAATCATCTTGAACATAAAAAAGGGCCAGCCATTGATGACTGCGTCTTAGTTTTTTTATTCGAAAAATAATAAGTTGGGAAAAATTAAAAATATTTTTAAAACTAATGCTAAAAGTGGAATTGCACGAATACTATGCATTGGAAGATAATGAAAATTTAATCACAGGTAACCTGAATCATCCTGAGCAAGAAAAAGTGTCAGCCATTGATGGCCGCGACTTAGTTTTTTTATTTGAAAAATAATAAGTTGGGAAAAATTAAAAAAATTTTACAAAATCAAGCTTAAAGTGGAATTTCTCGAATACAATAAATTGAAATTCAATGAATTTTTAATCACAGGTAACCTGAATCATCCTGAGCAAGAAAAAGTGCCAGCCATTGATGGCCGCGACTTAGTTTTTTTATTTGAAAAATAATTAGTTGGGAAAAATTAAAAACATTTTACAAAATCAAGCTAGACGTGGAATTTCTCGAATACTATGCATTGGAAGTTAATGAAATTTTAATCAGAGATAACCTGAATCATCCTGAACATGAAAAAGTGCCAGCCATTGATGGCCGCGACTTAGTTTTTTTATTTGAAAAATAATAACTTGGGAAAAATTAAAAAGATTTTTAAAACTAATGCTAAAAGTGGAATTGCACGAATACTATGCATTGGAAGATAATGAAATTTTAATCAGAGGTAACCTGAATCATCTTGAACATAAAAAAGTGCCAGCCATTGATGGCCGCGACTTAGTTTTTTTATTTGAAAAATAATAAGTTGGGAAAAATTAAAAATATTTTTAAAACTAATGCTAAAAGTGAAATTGCACGAATACTATGCATTGGAAGATAATGAAATTTTAATCAGAGGTAACCTGAATCATCTTGAACATAAAAAAGTGCCAGCCATTGATGGCCGCGACTTAGTTTTTTATTTGAAAAATAATAAGTTGGGAAAAATTAAAAAAATTTTTAAAACTAATGCTAAAAGTGGAATTTCACGAATACTATGCATTGGAAGATAATGAAAATTTAATCACAGGTAACCTGAATCATCCTGAGCAAGAAAAAGTGTCAGCCATTGATGGCCGCGACTTAGTTTTTTTATTTGAAAAATAATAAGTTGGGAAAAATTAAAAAAATTTTACAAAATCAAGCTTAAAGTGGAATTTCTCGAATACTATAAATTGAAATTCAATGAATTTTTAATCACAGGTAACCTGAATCATCCTGAGCAAGAAAAAGTGCCAGCCATTGATGGCCGCGACTTAGTTTTTTTATTTGAAAAATAATTAGTTGGGAAAAATTAAAAAATTTTACAAAATCAAGCTAGACGTGGAATTTCTCGAATACTATGCATTGGAAGTTAATGAAATTTTAATCAGAGGTAACCTGAATCATCTTGAACATAAAAAAGTGCCAGCCATTGATGGCCGCGACTTAGTTTTTTTATTTGAAAAATAATAAGTTGAAAAAAATTAAAAATATTTTCAAAAATAATGCTAAAAGTGGAATTGCACGAATACTATGCATTGGAAGTTAATGAAATTTTAATCAGAGGTAACCTGAATCATCTTGAACATAAAAAAGGGCCAGCCATTGATGACTGCGTCTTAGTTTCTTTATTTGAAAAATAATAAGTTGGGAAAAATTAAAAATATTTTTAAAACTAATGCTAAAAGTGGAATTGCACGAATACTATGCATTGGAAGATAATGAAAATTTAATCACAGGTAACCTGAATCATCCTGAGCAAGAAAAAGTGTCAGCCATTGATGGCCGCGACTTAGTTTTTTTATTTGAAAAATAATAAGTTGGGAAAAATTAAAAAAATTTTACAAAATCAAGCTTAAAGTGGAATTTCTCGAATACTATAAATTGAAATTCAATGAATTTTTAATCACAGGTAACCTGAATCATCCTGAGCAAGAAAAAGTGCCAGCCATTGATGGCCGCGACTTAGTTTTTTTATTTGAAAAATAATTAGTTGGGAAAAATTAAAAAAATTTTACAAAATCAAGCTAGACGTGGAATTTCTCAATTACTATGCATTGGAAGTTAATGAAATTTTAATCAGAGGTAACCTGAATCATCCTGAACATGAAAAAGTGCCAGCCATTGATGGCCGCGACTTAGTTTTTTTATTTGAAAAATAATAACTTGGGAAAAATTAAAAAGATTTTTAAAACTAATGCTAAAAGTGGAATTGCACGAATACTATGCATTGGAAGATAATGAAATTTTAATCAGAGGTAACCTGAATCATCTTGAACATAAAAAAAAACCAGCCATTGATGGCCGCGACTTAGTTTTTTTATTTGAAAAATAATAAGTTGGGAAAAATTAAAAATATTTTTAAAACTAATGCTAAAAGTGAAATTGCACGAATACTATGCATTGGAAGATAAT